TCCTATGGGATTGAGCTCACAGGATTTATGAGTCATAGATGTCCATTTTATTATCAACTTTATCTTTTTCTAAGGCTCTTAGTTTGTAGCATTCTCTAGTCACCGGGGTGCCTGCTTTCACTCACTGATGAGCAGATGCTCTCATCAATCAATCAGGTAGGATCAAAAAAAGAAAGTCTAACATGGAAGGCATTAGGTCATAGACCTCACAAGGCACAAATCGAGGGACAGAGAGAAATGGAGTAGAGAAATAAGGGAAGTTTATTGGGGTGCGCTTCCAGGTGGCACCTACCTGGTGAGGCTGGGGTAGATCTGCGCCCTGGGAAAGGCTAAGTGGAATTTTTTCTTCTCTTAGGTGGGGAAAGAGAGCAGGGGTCAGAGGGACTGGTGCATCTGGTATGGCCTTCTGTCACCTGTGGGGTCCATGTGAGGGAGCATGGAATGCACCTGGGAGCATCTGGGGCCAGGTGGGCCAGAGTCCTGACTTCTGTGCTGAGGTCGAGGGATTTCTGCTATCACATCAGCTGATTGCTATTTGGTCCTGAGCAGTGCCATTTAGTCCCCACAAACCTTACAAATGTACATTTGAAAACAAATATTTGGTTTTCAAAAGACTTGTAAACAAAGCTACTTTGAAAATAAAAATAGTTCAGACTACTTGTTTGGTGCATGAGTCCTAATAAAAACGTTCAACAATTCTGCCAGTAATAGATGTTATGAAAATATTAAATTATTCAGGTTTGGTGCTGTGTGAAAATGTCAAACTTCTTTTCCAGTACTGAAGTACTTTCCATATCAGTTTTACTCTCAATTTTCTCATCTCACTCTAAGTCAATTGTGATTTTCCTTCACCATTCGCTGGGCAGGACTCTCTAGGTTGGCCACTGTCTGCGCTTACTCTCTCATTCAGGGCTGCAGCTCAGATTATTCACCAACATGCCAATGGTCACAAGAATCACAGCCTTTTTCATGCTTTTGCTGATATGATTGCAGCTTTCCTTATTCCCTCCCCCTGAGTTCATATGGTACCAAAGTAGCTGAGAGAACCCGAACATCCTGAGCTCCTGTCATCCTGCTCACTGGCCTGTCAGGTTATCTTGGAATTTCAAGATCTGAAATCATGGAGAGGGAAGGAGAGGAGACACTCTGTTCAAAACATGAAATGTAGTAATCTTGGTTTATTCCACTATTGTGCAGGCTCATTTTCTTTTATTATTATTCCACTATACTGCAGACTCATTTTCTTTTGTATTACAGTCTGAATATACATTACTTGAATGCACTTATTTATATATTTTTATTGAATCACTATGAGATACAGGTACATAGCTTTCATGTTTGAATTTTTTCATACAATGGTAAAATACTAATCCCTTCACCAGTGCACATTTCCACCACCAAAATTCACAGTACTGCCCCCCCTCCCACATCCAAACTGTTCTCCTGCCTGTTTGGCAGACAATTTCCACAATATTCTCTCTACTTGGATTACATCACTATTTTGACACCAGTCCCACCAGTATTATTTGGAATTTTCCCACCACCACTCGAACCTTCCGAAAAGGCAATGCTAGACAATTTGTTTTGTATTGCTTGTTTTGAATAGCATAAGATGTTACAAGGCTGTGCAATCCTGGAATTCTAAAATTTTAATAATTAGGGTCTGGAGAGATCTCTGCAGTGAGCTACTCAGTTCTGAGGTTTGTTTGTCTCTAGATCATGGCCATTAAGGAGCTTAATAAGTAGCGGGGGCAGTTTGTGGATATCATCTCAGTGTCCCATCAGGGTGAGGCGGGGGATGAGAGGGACCAGCTTCTCCTCTGTCCCGTGAGGCCTGGCATTTGCTGTTACTGCTCCCGCATGCCAGGGCTTCTCATTGGGTTCTGAAAGATGGTGGCCAGGAGAAATCCTGGGGGCAGTGGAGGGACAGCACCTGCTCCCGTCTGGAGATGCCCATAAAAAGTGACCCATTGCAAAGTCAGGAGGCATCTCTTCAGTGAGCTCCTCAGTTCTGAGATTCGTTCTTGTGTCTCTTTGAACATAGTTTTATGAATTTCACATGTTTAAGGCAATATTTTATGTAGGTTGAAACAACCAGGAAGAAATTAGATCAAGTTTCTTCTCCCACCTAGATTTACCAACTACTTCCCAGGCCAGTTTAACTAATATGAGGTTTTTTTTTATTACACAACCAACCCCTACAGAAAAATGGCACAAAACCCCATGACAATTATCTCTCTCATTGTCAATGTTCTAAATGCACCAATCAAGAGACACAGAGTGGCAAAATGGATCCAGAAACTGACACCAACATTCTGCTACCTACAAGAAACACATCTGAACAGTCAGAGCAAACACAAACTCAAAACTAAAGGATGGAAAACAATCCTGCAGGAAAACAGCTCCCTCAAAAATGCTGGGGTGGCCATACTAGTATCAGACAACATAGATTTCTTGTTGAAAAAGAGTATAAGGGACAGTGAAGGCCATTTTCTATTTATCAAGGAATATGTACAATAGAAAGAAATCACACTCTGAAATGTATAGAAACCTAATGAGGGAACAGCTAAATACTCAAAACAACTGCAACAGATTTTAAGGAGGACATTGTTAGCAATAAAATAGTAGTCGAAGACTTCAACACTGCCTTATCACTTCTGGATAAATCACCAAGAACAAAACTCAGCAAGGAAACATTGGCTTTGAAGGAAGAAATAGAAGAGAGATGGCTAATAGACCTATACAGGGCTTTACACCCCAATAAAAACAAATGCACATTCTTTTCCAGTACACGCAGAACATTTTTCAAAATAGACCACATGCTAGGTCACAAAACAAACCTCAATAGAATCAGGAAGATAGAAATAGTATCAACAATCTATTCAGACCACAATGCGCTGAAGGTAGAAGCCACACACAGACATAGAGAACAAAATTGAACACCTGGAAATAAAACAACTCAATGTTGAACAACGAGTGGGTCAGGTAGGAAGTCAAGGATGAAATCAAAAGATACCTGGAAACAAATGAGAATGAAGACACAAGCTACCAGAACTTAGGGATGCAGCTAAAACCATGTTAAGAGGAAAATTTATAGCTTTGCAAGCATTCCTCCAGAAGGAAGAAAGGGCCTACATAGATAACCTGACTTCACAGCTTATACTTTTTTGGCAGCTAATGGGCTTTAACCAAGTTTAAATACAAAGTTTATCATAAAAAAAATTCTACTAATATTGCTACTACACTTCCCAACCATGTCCCATAATATTTTTCTCCTCTCTCTCTAAGGGAAAAAAAAGTTGTTTTTATTCAGGGAGGAAGAGGATTTTTGGAAAACCAATGTGTTCTATTTACAATATTTGGTATGGGATTTTCTGTCCTAGAAGCCACAATGTTCTGGCCCACCGTGATATTGGGTAGTGTTAGCTAAGTTTTGTGCTTCCAGATCACTTTTGTTTTTAAGAATTTTTTGATATTCTTACAAAGTCTACCTTCAATTTTGATCCTTTATTCCCTTTATTCGTTTGGTGCACAGGATTACCTTTTTAGCCTTTATCTTGGCACCAAGCATTCCTCTTTGGTGGCCGTGTACTTGAAGAAGAGTCCGCACGATCTTTCTAGCTCCACTCGATGTCTAAAGATACCCCGCTTTCTTTGCTTGCATCCCACAAACAATTTCCCTTATCCTGTTACTGCAGCAGATCTCTCCTGAGTTGATGAGATTGTGTTGATCCCCCTGGAAACTCCCCCCAAGTTCTATTATATCTTTCCTTAAGTTTGATTTGGGTTCCTTTTGTTGGTCTTTTTCTAAGATCTTGAAGAAACAGTGGGTAGGGTGATCTTTGGGAATAACTTAGCCCCATCATTATTTAAAGAGAAGGGGTGGGGGAAGTTAAAAGCAGACAATGACAGAAACGTACAATTTCCTTTAAAGAATTTTCAGAACCGAAAGACCAATTTACATAAAAAGCTTGTAGGGAAAGTAGTTGAAAAGTCCATTCATAAAACTTTTATCCCACTTACATGAATTTAATACACGTGTTCTTAAAAATTATTTTTGGATTGTTCATGAAAATTTCATAAGACATTAAACAAGGCTAGCCATCATCTTAAGTTATTTCCCTGTTAACTATTTTTACAGCACATGCATGTTGGACAAGTTTCAAAAAAAATCACAAAAGCAAAAAATGGAAAAACCCTAAAAAAAGTTAAATACATGAGTTTTGTTTGACTGCTGTGTTTGACATACATGAAGTTATGGATATCAAGTAATTGATTTTTACTGCATCTTTACTTGTACATTTGTTCTTAGGTTGCCTAAAACATTTCAATACTAATACAAAGTATTTAGCAAAAATAATAAAATTGAACAGCAGGTAACTTTACAAATAATGGAATGTAAAACCTTTCCTCCGTTCTCCAGAGTAACTTGGGTCACAACTCTGTCTAGAGACACTTCCGCAGCTGCAACACAGGTGTGCACGCGCTTCAGTAATTTAGACACACACGGGTCAACATGCAACATCCATGAGATAATTAAGTTCCACTAGAGCTTGCTAAGTGCTCCAAACCTTAAAATACCCACAGTAACTACACTTGTGACTGTAACCAATGACAGACCAATTCTTCCATTTAATACCCCACCAGAACAAACCAATATGAAGGTAGTTTTCTTGCTTACACACGGAAGCAGTTTTAACCCTAGCCCTTGTGAAGCCACAATGTACCAAAGTACTATGCTACACATTTATAACTTGTATAAAAATTCCACATCTCATATTGGCCACCTTAAGATGAAAAAACAGAGAACTCCATAAATGTTAACTGGCTCTACTCTCCTAATCTTAAACATAAAAACACATGGGAAATATAGAAATTCAAATAGAAGTAACATAAAACTGTCATAAATCATAAACAAAAAGCTATAGGTGGGACAGCGTGATGACAAATGGTATACTATGTAGATTTTAGAATGAGCCAGACAAAAGTTGGAAGGCTGGTTAATTCTCCCCTCCTTCTTCTGCTTCAGCTTCATCTCCTTGGATTTCCGATATCCACAATGTCAAGTTTTCTCTCAGTAAAGTAAAAGTAGTAAAGGCCCTCCTGTTGATCATCGATTTGCTCGAGTGGGCCCAGTAACGTCTCCATTGGAGACTTTGTTGTTACTGTGTTTGGCATATCGAATACATCGCGGGAGCTTGCCAGGCTCTGCCGTGCGGGCAAGATACTCTCGGGAGCTTGCCGGGCTCTCCGAGAGGGGCGGAGGAATCGAACTCGGGTGGGCCATGTTGGCTGCATGCAAGGCAAACGCCCTACCACTGTGCTATCGCTGTCTCTCAGTAACTGCATTATTTTCATGCTGTTTCTGTACGATTCTATACTTAATGTACCAAGTTCAGCAAAGGCTTCATCAAAAGCTGTCTGTGTAAGAGAGCAGGCTTTCTCCAGAGCATTCAGAATCTCGTAATAGGACACAGAGAAGTTAAGGGTCAGACCCAATCTGACCTGCGTTGGCTGCACTTTCTTTTTGCTGATTTAAAAACTTCATGGGAAAAAAACACTAAAAATTTCTTGGTATGCTTGTAGTGACTGATCCATAATCCCTTTCTTCTCATCAACAGCAGCAACCTCTGCCAAGTAACGGTAGTAGTCTCCTTTCATTTTCAAATAGAAGACTTTGCTCTCAGCTTGTGAAGCAATGGGGATCAAAAACTTTTCCAAAAGAGACAGTACATCATTGCAGATATCTCTCAGCTCAGTCTCAATTTTCTCTCTGTATTCTAGGGCCATCTGCTTTCCCTCTGCACCTTTTGTCTTTTGCTCAATACTTGACATGACTCTACAAGAAGACCTAAGGGCTTCTACAATATTTTTATAAGCAATGGAGAGAAGATTCCTCTCCTCATTGGATAACTCAGCTCCTTGCTCAATTACATACGTCATGCAGGATGCCATGTCATCATACCTCTCAGCTTGCTCTGCCAGTTTGGCCTTCTGCACCAGCTCATTTTTATCCATGACTGGATGTTGTTCTCAGCTCACCCCACTGCCTCCAGCAGCTTTCACTCCCTCAGAAACTGTCCATAAATCTTCTTTAACAAATGATGCTGGCATACCTGGACAATCACATGCAAAAAAAATGGGCTTAGACCTCAAACTAACACCATGAACAAAAGTCAGATCAAAATGGATTAAAGATTTCAACATCAGGCCAGAATCCATAAGGTACATTTAAGACAAGGTCGGCAAAACCCTCTACGATATTGAGGCTAATGGTATCTTCAAAGATGACACTCTACTGACCAACCAAGTGGAAACAGAGATAAACAAATCGGACTATCTTAAACTAAGAAGCTTCTGCACCGCAGAAGATAAAGTGACCAAAATACAAAGACAATCTACAGAATGGGAAAGGATATTCACCCAATACCCATTGGACAAGGAGTTGATATCAAGGATATATAAGGCACTGGTTGAATTCTGCAAGAAGAAAACATCCAACCCCATCAGAAAAATTGAGTGATTAAATGAACAGAAACTTTCTCAAGAAAGAAATATGAATGGCAAGAAGGCCATGGAAAAATGGAAATGGAAAAATGCTCCTCATCACTAATCATCAGGGATATGCAGATCAAAACAACTATGAGATACCACCTCAAACCACAGAGACTGGCACACATCAAAAAGAACAAAAGCAACTGGTTTGGCGGGGATGTGGGGAGAAAGGGACCTTCCTACACTTCTGTTGGGAACGCAGACTAATTCAGCCCTTCTGTAAAACAGTATGAAAAACAGTATTGAAAACATCTTCTCAAAAAATTAGAAATTGAGCTCCCATTAGAGCCAGCAATACTACTCCTAGGAATATATCCCAGAGATGCAAAAAAGTATAGATGAAGTGGCATCTGCACTTGTTTGTTCAATGCAGCATTGTTTATAATAGCCAGAATCTGGAAAAAACCCAAGTGCCCGAGAACAGATTGGTTAAAGAAACTTTGGTACATCTACACAATGGAATACTATGCAGTTGTTAGAAAAGATGAAGTTATGAAATTTATATACAAGTGGTTCTATATGGATGATACTTAGCATGTTACTTTTATCATATTAAGTGAAATGAGTCAGAAAGAGAGGGACAGATGTAGAAACACTGAATTAATCTGTGGAACATAGAGTAACAAAATAGGAGACTAACACCCAAGAATAGTCAAGATAAGTACAAGGAGGTTCGCTCTATGGCATGGAGTCCAGCCGCACATGCTGGAGGAAAAGGCAGCTCAGATAGAGACGGGAGCACCAAGTAAAGGGTGTTGGGAGGATGGCACAGAATGGAAGATGCTTGCTGGAAGTAGACTATGGACAAAACATGATTGCCACTCAACACCTCTATTGCAAAACACAACACCCCAAAGGAGAGAGAGAACAAAAGGGAATGCCCTTCCACAGAGGCGGGGTAGGATGGCGGAGGGCAATGGGGGGTTGGTGGGATAGATACTGGGATCATTGTTAGTGGAGAATGGGCACTGGTGGAGGGATGGGTACTCTATCATTGTATAACTGAAACCCAAGCACAAAAAATTTGTAAGTCTACAACTGTACCTCAGGGTGTTTCACTAAGTAAGTAAGTAAGTAAGTAAAGGCCCTCCAGTTGATCATCGATTTGCTCGAGCAGGCCCAGTAACGTCTCCATTGGAGACTTTGTTGTTACTGTGTCTGGCATATTGAATACTCTCGGTAGCTTGCCGGGCTCTCCGAGAGGGGCGGAGGAATCGAACACGGATCGGCCATGTTGGCTGCGTGCAAGGCAAATGCCCTACCTGCTGTGCTATCGTGTTTCACTAACAATAAAAATTAAAAATAAATAAATAAATAAATAAATAATGCAATTCCCTTCTTGTATGGATACAGAAAGACACTTAGTATTGAGCTTTGGTAATTTGGGATTGAATTTGCTTTGAATATTATTCACTCCCGGTCATGTGTTTTCTCAACTTAAGCCTCAGTTGCCCTTAGTTCCCAGCACCCTAAAAGCAGGGTTTAATGAGGAACTGAACGGACCCAGGGCAATCTGTGACCTACACCGAAATGGGCCAGGCCAAAGTGCCACGATTCTAACTATAAGTTAAGAGCTTGATGATCGGACACATGCTGTCATGATCCAAAAGTAACAACGAGAATAGGACCCTGATAGGGATAGGAAAGGCTAATCTGGCCTGAGTACTGTAGTCTGAGATCTACATGACCCCAGGAGAGCAATTCTATAAGCTTATTGTATCTCTTACTGTGTCCACACAAAAGGATTAAAATTATCAATGCTTATATGTTTATTGGACAAGGAGAGGAGAAACACACCTATGGGATTACGTTCTTGGTGGGACATCCTGCTGTATGAGAATCTGTCCTAGAAGCAACTTCCCCTGAGGGAAAGGGAAAGGACTTTACCCCTATTGACTGTGACCACACCTACATGTAAGATAAAACCCCTCATGCGGGGGGGATTTAATTAGATGGTAAGAGGGGGCTGGGGATCCAGATTTGAGAGCCAGGTTAGAAGATGAAAGGGGATCCAGTATCCAGAGCCAGGAGGAGAATGAAGGGGGATCATGAAGTAGAATGGCGGGGAGAAGCAGAGAGAGAGAGAGAGAGAGAGAGAGAGAGAGAGAGAGAGAGAGAAGTGAATGGAGATGAGACTGGAATAAACTGCAACTGACACCAACCAACCTGGCCCTCCTTTCCTTCCTTTGCCTGCCCATCACCATTGACCTCCTCGAGGTGGGGGAAATGATATGAGACTACCGAAACAGGCAGCAGGAGAGATAGAACACCGCTGCTCTGTGCGCTTTTTTGTTTACACACCTCATGGTGTTTCACTAATAAAAATAAAATAAAATAAACAGTGATAACAATTTTAAAAAGTCCCTTAATTAAAATCCCTATTATTTGTCCTAGTCATGAGTCTGGCTCACAAATAAGTTGGGTTTCAGTTGATATTACCAAAACTAGGGAAATATTCAAAGTGTCAATGTAAAGAAAGTTAAAAAACTTAAAATCACTAGCAACATTTTCCATAATAATCACTTACCTTTCTTACATTACACTGAGAGTTAAATATAATATTAATAAGGGACTCTTAAATCAACATACCTTGATAGCGCTTTAAAATTTTTCTGACACTAAAGTAAAGCTTAGAGACATTGCACACAGTATGCACTTCCACAGAAACATCCTCTGGTGTTTCCATATCTATAGCTGAATTCCTAGAGCAACCAGAGACCAGAGATTCCTTCAGTGGCTCCTTCCATCCATGTCTTTATGCCCATGCCCCTCCCCTGCCCACACTGATAATATGGGGCACTCACCTGCTCAAGGTCTCTTTTATATCCTGTAGAGAAACAAAAGCAAAGGTGAGTGTAGGGATATCTGAACTTCATGGAAAATGGCATGCGGGGCAGTTCTCTATAAACAATCTTTCAGAGATGTAAGGTATGGCACTCCGAGGGAGGGAATGGAACCAAGGTTTAAGTGTATAGTGTAAGTTCATTGCAGTTGAGACACACCACTAAGCCCCTAACTGTAAACACTGAATGGAATTCAAATAGGATGATGCCCACCTAAGTCCCTTGATGATGCACATTACTGCCTCCTTATCAACCTCTCATTCAGCTGTCTTCTTTACTAGAGGTTTTGGGGAACTTTGGAGTCTAAAAACACATCAACCTATGGCATTTGACAAAGGGATCAGGAGAATGCCCAGGGTACCACTTGCTTTAAATGATGTGATATCTTTAGATTGAGTCCTTATTGGACACTTCTTATGATAAAGGGTCTGAGCCCTGAGTCCATGCAGAATCTCTGTGGCTGAGATGCTTAGGGTCGATAGGAGGTACCAAATTACAGTGGTACAGTTGTACTATAATCAATCAGAAACTATGAGATTACCTCAAATTATATTATGGAACTAGAAAAAAACCCAGGCAGCATATAATACAAGATGCAGGAGTAAGGTCTCCTTTGAATCAGACAAGTGCAAAATTTAATAAAATTCGCACATGACCAAAGCTCGTAAGTTTGATCCAGAGTGAAAGTGCATAGCAGCAAACAATAAATGGCTCTGGTCATGTTTTCATGTGAGGAACTTAAAAAGCGTAATGTTCTCAAGAGACGAGGCCCAATAATGTAAGAGGGTTAAGTTGACTTACCAGTCAGGCCCAGGGGGAACAAAACATTGGGCTGATAATTCTCCCACATGTTTATGCATCAATTTCTTCACAAGGCCATGAGGAGAGATGGACCTGGGCATGACTGGGTCTCAGAAAAATATTTTTAGTGGAGCGTACAGTACAACTGCGGCCCCAGGCAGATGGGGCACAACCATTATGGCTTGTTATGTGCATAGAGCTCAGCTGCTTGTGTAACTGTGACTACAAAGCAACAAAGACCATATTCTTGCCCCTCCCGTTTCCCCACCTATATCCTCAGTACATCTGAATCAATGATTCAGTCAGACTCAGTGCAGGTTTTACACAAGAAACAAGGAGGCCTGGCTCAGAGGTGCATAAGTGCCTAGACTCAAGGCTTGAGGCAAAGGCATCAGGGTGAATTGTGAAGGCCAAGAAGCATTGCCTCTGAGGACAGCACAGTCTTGGCAGAGGCTAGTTGCCACACAAACCTTGCCCCACAAGTTTCCTGTGGAAATGGTGGACATAAGTCAACCTTAGACTTGCTATTCTAGACAGCAAACACCCAGAATCTCATCCCTAAATCACTCAACATGGCTACAAAAATTAAGAAGACTGAGAGTCCACCCAAATCATTGAGTGAAGACAAAAGCCTGGGAAGTTCTCAAGAAAACAAGAGCTTCTTTGCTCATTTTCTCTGAGTTGAAAATTGTTAATGGTGAAAATTCTCTCAAAGTAAAAATTGTAAGCTTCAATTAATTAAATGAAACAAAAGAAAACATCTCCAATAAAGCAACATAACCAATTATACAGGGTGGGAAGTATATTGAAATAAGTGAACTGCAAAAATCATAGGAATGTTCCAGCAGATGAGTGACTGATGCCAAGGAACCA